GAAAAACTTACCTCAAAAACACAAAAGTAACTAAAAAATAAATATAAAAGTACACTGTTTTAGCAAAATTACTTTTTTATCTTTTACTCCTTGTGAATAAATACATATGTGGACATCATCTCTGACAGGTCAGTCAGACTGGTTAAATCTAAGTATGATGAGCTGGACAAGAGGCAGAAATTTCTTCTGCTTTCACTTTCACAATGTCTATTTTACATTTTGAATCTCACTAACTCCTTCAGTATTTTTTTTTTTTTATAGGAGGGAGACAGTGTGAGGTTCACATATGTAAGTCCAAACTATTTCCCCAAGGCAATGAGCAGAAATTGCATCCATTTACCTACAAGAGCCTCACGATTATCCTTATTTTTAGTTGAGTAACTTTTCATTGTATAAAATACTATAATTTCTTAACCATTCTGCAGTTGATGGGAAAGTTACCCCTTTTTTTCTGGTTTCTTGTGACACAGAGCATTGTTTTCTCTTTGACTTTCGATCTATGAATTTTCATTAGTTACTGTCTTTCGTGTATACCACATTTGATGGATTTTATTACTTGATCTACTCTGTCTGTGTTTCTTTTTATTGCTGAACTGAGGCCATCTTTGTGAAAAGTTATGGCCAATATGCACTGGTTCATTTCTACCATGATTTTTTCCCTACTATTGGCTCTACTTTTCAGTTCCAATCAATTGTCTGTCTTGCTGCTATTACTGGTGCCATGGTCACTTTTATTTCTCTCTGTAGAATGTCCTTCAGTATTCTTTGTAGGTTTGGTCTTGGTAGTCATGAATTCCTTCAGTTGTCGTCTTGTAATTATCTTATTTCCCCATTAACTTAGTAAGGTAGTGTTTCAGGGTACATCAATCTGGGTTGGAAGTTGTTTTCTTTCAGGATTTGAAATACTTCATTCCAAGCTTCTCTTCACTTGATGGTTTAGTGTGAAGTCTGTCATGATTCTGGTGGTGTTTTCTTTGTAAGTGATCTGTTTATTTTTCTCTAACAACCTTTAATTGTTCTTGGGCTGAATTTCTGAGATCTTGATTAATTTCTGGGTGTAAATTTATTTTACACCCAGAAATTAATGGCTGTTATGGCTGATTGTATTTCTATATACCTCACATTGGTATGTCAGGTCCTTTCTCGGTGCTTTAGATGTTCTCAGCTATTACTTCTGTAAATAGCACTTTATGTCATTTGTGTTGACTCCTGCTTTTTTGATGACACCTATCAGTCTTAAGGTACTTTTACTTGCATTGTCTTGCAGCCATTGTATTCTTATTTCCTGATCCCTTTTTATTTTTAAGATATATTTCCTTTCATGATTAGCTGCCACCATCCTGTCTTCAAGATCTAAAAATCTATCTTGAGTTTTGTTCAAATGGTTTTGCCAGATTTCAATGGAGTTTTAAATTTCCTGGATATCTCTTCGAGTTTGTTTCATGAATTCTGAATCTTGTCAATATTGTTCATTCAAGGTTTCACTCATACTCCTTTGCTCTTCTTTTTATAAATCTGTTTCTTCTTTAAATCAGCTCAGCGACCCTTTTTCATGTTTGACATTTCTTCTTTTACTTGAGATATTATTCCTGATCTGATTTCTTTTACAGCCTCATAAGGTAGTTTCTTTACCACAGTTGCCATCATCCCAGAAATTTCAGGTATGAAACTTATACTTTATGCCATGCGTGTGAGTCCTGAACTTATTCTGTTTGGGCTGCAGGTCAGAGATTGTCTTTTGCTCCTTCATCTTGACAGTTTGCTGGATTCCTCCAGATGAGTATGTTGTGGGTCCCAGGCACTTCCCACATTGCTAACCAGGCCACAGTGTAGGGGGATGGGTCAAGCACCTGTGTTTCTTCTAACCCATGTTCCCCAGAAGGCAGCGGGGTGTGGGGCAGGTTTCTCCAGACATTCACAGCTTCACCAACGCATAGCTGGCTGGTTTTCCCTGTCAATGCTGGCTACTCATGGAAGACTCCCGATGGTGGCTAGCATGCACATGGGGTCCAGGCTGGCTGCTCTGTGTTAGCCACCCCCAGTATTATTTTTCAGATAACATATTTTTTTCATGTGATACAATTCATTTAACATTTATAGTTTTAACTACTGTAAATTTACAAAGTGGAAAGAAATATTAATTGGGAATCAGATTTTATTAATTTTGAAACTAATTAAATTTACTAATTATATACAAATATACATATACTAAATCTTAAATGCTAACTCCTTATGGGTATATATAGGTGTGTGGATAATTCACACAAACACAAATGAATTTGAGTCCACATTCATATCTTGCTTATTACAATCTGTTGTCACATAAGAGCATAGTTTTTTTTAATATTCCATGCACATCCTATCCCCTTACATAAGCTTTGTATTTTGTAAATTTTCTTGTAATGTTCATGCTCACATTCTTCCTTGTGAATCTTAAAATTTCATCAAGACTGAAAAATTTGTACTTATTTGAAAATTGAATTTTTGTGCACAACATATATGTCTTCAAATTTTAAAATTACCTGTTCATTGATAGAGCAAGGTGTTTTCAAATTTCAAAAAATATTGTACCTTTTTAAACGTATTTCTTATATCTTTCCTATTACATTCATAACTCCAGTATGCTAGTCCTTATTTCTGCCAAATGCCTCTCTCTTTAAGGAGACAGCTTTCATGTTAGGCACTATTGCAAGATGCTGAGCTCATTTCACTGTCCTTGGTCACAGGTTTTGTGATTCAACATGGATGGGGTCAATAAAATCCCTTCCCAGAATTCACCATCAAAGATTTTTGCTCTGACTGGGAGTGAGTAGCATGATCAATATTGTACCTGGTTATATCCACTGTATTGATGGCTGATATTCATGACACACTCCAGATCTCATTCCATTTAATCACTCAAATATATATTGAATTATTTTAAATATATATTGAATCAAATATATATTAAATCTTTTTGGAAACTCTGCATTCTGACTTCCCACGCAAGGTACATTTTCCAGAGTCCATTCTTGTCACAGTCTTCCTTGAAATGGTCTTAATAAGGAAACCATTTAGAGATCCAGACTTCACTTAAAAACATCAAGATCAAAAAGAAACAACAGCATGTGAAAGTAGAGTATATGAAGTCATCACTTTAAGAAACAAATCAATTCTTTCACTGTTTGTCCCATTTTGGTGTAATACTTGGTAACAAAGATTTACTACTCACATTTTTCTCTTAAAAAAGACAATCCATGCTAAACATTTCACAACAAATCCTACACACAGGCTCATAGCAGTTGTCTAATGCCTCTCCTTGGTTCTGCATCCCAGAGTTGAAACTGGTTCCAGTGATCTTCACTAAGAATCTCCTGGTTTCCTGTATTCTATTTATTAGTAATAAATCAATTCTTCAAATTAAAAACAAAGGAAAACCCAAAATAAGCATGTAAACATACTCCAATGTCTTAATCACTTCTGAAGCACCATCTAAATTTTCTGTCTTCTTTAATGGCAAGAATGATGTAAAAACTCCAAGTAATTTTAGTTTCAATAACCTCGTTTGTGCTGTAGTCTACTTACTGGACCTTACCCTTATCACTAAATGGGAACTAAATACAAATTGTGAGGTTTAAATGAATATAGACATTTTTCATTCATCAGTAAATGTTAATATAGAAAATTTATTATCAGTAGAACTGAAATTTCAAGGGAAAAATAGTGAAGGGGGGCAATGAAGCTCTTGTGGTTGATACATTGTGTCAATTTGAGAAGTTTAAAAGTTTAACTAATAGATTCAGCAGGGATCCAGGGACTTTACTAACCCCATTCTATGCAAGAGGAGGACACAAAGATTTTGAGAGTGCCCTAGGAGGCAAGTGGTGGACTGCATACACTATAAGAGGGGCAAAGAGGCTTGTTCCATCCCCATTTTTCTCTGGCTGCTTTTACTGGCTGCACCTTGAAGTGTTTCTCCTGGCTATGCCACCCTGCCTTAGTGCCAACTGATTATGGACTGAAACCTCTACTGTGAGCTAAATATACCTTTCCTTCCTCCATTTTGTGTGTCAAGTATTTTGTCCCAGCAATGAGAAAAAAGTAACCAAAGCAGGGACAATAAAGATTCATAAAATCCTAACCAATTTAATGACTCAGGATGATCCTGTCTACTAGAGGGAGGGGTTTGTAAGTGGCCAATGAATGTTGTCAATGTGAAAGCCTGAAATTCAGTTCCTAGGAGCACAAATACAGAAAAGTGTGAAAGTGATAAACAAAGTCTACTTCTTAATGGTGTTCATATTCACTGGATACTGAATTTATAAAAGGATGTATAAAAGACAAGAGATAGAAAACCCTCACTTTAAAAATGGAATAATAAGTTATTACAAAATTGTCATTCTAAACTTAGCCTACAAATTCCCTTGGAATTTGTCTTTAAATGCATGCTACTTGAGGTCCCATTCTGACAACAATTGTTGAAAATTCACCCCAAACACCAACTCTGAAAAAAAGTCATCTTTCATTGCTGTGACTATTACTTTCAAACTTCAAAACAAAATACTTACATGGTGTGTGTGTGTGTGTGTGTGTGTGTGTGTGTGTGTGTGTGTGTATTTTTCTTCCCTTAGAATTTGTGCGCCTGGTTGAAGGACAGGGACTCTGCTCAGGACGAGTGGAGGTGAATCTTGGAGGAAGTTGGACTCCAGTGTCTGCTGTGAACTTCACATTCCCTAGTGCCCAAGTCATTTGTGCAGAGCTGGGTTGTGGTAAAGCTGTGTCTATCGTGGGAGGTGGGCCCTTCAGAGACTACACTGGACGAGTATGGACAGAAGAGTTCCAATGCGAGGGGCAAGAACCTGGGCTTTGGTTCTGCCCCAGAGCACCCTGTCCTGGAGGCAGCTGCCAAGACAGATGGACTGTTCAAATTGTCTGTTCAGGTGAGACTGAACAGGACTTCTACCACTGCATACAGTATTGTTATAAGAACAATATGCTGAAACCCTGTCTTCTCCTCCCAGAGTTCACCGAAGTTCGGCTCATCAAAAATGGCACCTCTCACTGTGAGGGTCAGGTGGAAGTGAACACTTCCTCAGGCTGGAGAGCACTCTGTGCCTCCCACTGGAGCATGACCAATGCCAAAGTTGTCTGTCACCAGCTTGATTGTGGACTTGCAGTCTCCACCCCAAGAGGAGGAACGTACTTTATGGAAGGAGGGGATGATATCTGGAAAGACCAATTCCACTGCTCAGGGTCAGAGTCCTTCTTGTGGAGTTGTCCTGTAACCGCCATGGGTGTTTCTGCCTGTGCCCATGGGAACACAGCCTCAGTCGTCTGCTCAGGTGAGTGGTCAGGATGACTGGTGCTCAGGATTCTCCTGGAGTGGTACATCTCTCATAGCAGACAGCAGGGACAACAGATTTCTGAGTGAAAGGTTATACGACCTTGAAAAGGTGAAAGATGGTTTGCTCACTCATCAATCATCTTTCAGACCAACTAAAAGGAAATGAAAAGGAATTTTCTCAAAATAAATATTGTTATTCAATTGTAATCCATAGAGAACAAAATTAACAATATATACATGTAGGTTCCTCCACCCAGGTCATCAAATGTTACACATCATGCCAGTAGGCATACCGTCTTCCACTCTAAGAATACGAAACTTGTGGTAAATCCTGCTGCAAAAAAATTATTTTATGCCTTTTGACCTTTATGCAATATCAAACACGATATTGTCTTTTGTTTGTAACTTATTTGACTCTACCTAATAACATACTTGAAACACAAGTCTTTAGGGCAGATTGATGCATTTTATTTACTGTCGAATATCCCACTGTATTCACATATCCATCCACTCATATGATGGTGGAGACTGCAGATATTTTCTCTTCTTGAGTATTAAGACAATGATTTATGTTACAGACAGATATGCACATATTCATTTTGGGTTCTTAGCACATCAACTTTTGTTTTCACTTTTAATGTTCTTTTTTGAAGAGTTATACTCCTGGTTTTAATGGGGCACAATTTATTTTTTTTCCTTTACACTCAGTGCTCTTATACTCTTTTAAAAAGAACTATATGTATCCCGAGTTCTGAAAGGAATGTTCTCAAGAATGTCTTATAGAAATTTAAATACTTTGTCATATAATAGTTTAATACCTCTGAGTTGCTATTGTACATGATGTTTAATGTGACAGAAAATACTTCATTCACTTCCTTGTTTAGATTCATTTGACTCAGAATTCTCTCTACAAAAATGACACCTGGGTCATAAATGGAAAAGAACTGTGTCTGAACTTGTTCCTATACATCCTACACTCTGTCCCGTTCTACATTTAATCTATCCGTGTGTCAAAAGTATCACTTCTTATTTGATATTTTTAGTGAATCTATGTATGATTCTGCTTTATAGAAAATACTTTCAAGTAACTCCTATAAATCTCTTGATTTTTTTTCAAAAATGTTGGTCATCGTATAAATAAGTTTTAGAATCATTTTCTTATATTTAATAACAAGAAATTCTGATATTTTTTATGAAATTGAATTTAACCTACATATGAATGTGGAGATAATGGTAAGTATTTCATTTCTCTCAGGTTTTCCACATTGTACATGGTTTTCTGCTAGTAGCTTTAGGATTTTTTATATTATTATTTCCTTCAGGAAAACATTCTACAAAGGAATTTTCTCTGAATTGATTTCAAATTTGTTCTTATGTGTTATCTTCTTTCTTAACATTATATGCAAATTACTGAAAAGTTCTTTGATCAGTACAATAAATCATACATAACTTTATCTAGACACCTAATATTAATATCTTAAAATATCCTCTTCCTCTATCTGCTTTATTCTTTCCTAAATATGCAAAGACTATTATTAAATACATGTACACGACATAATTTCCCTTTAAAATTAAAACATTTTAAACAATTTCCATAGCTAACCACAATGTAATTTTTGCATTCTATATATTAACTTTGTTATAGTGCTATTATCCTATCCATACACTTTAGTATATCACTCAAAGTAAAAGATTAAAGGATTTCTTGGATTTCTGTATGTTTGTTTATCCAATGTGATATGGACTACTTGAATTCCCTTTGAAAATGAAAAGAAAACATTAGAAAAATGAGCCACAAAACATCGTGTTTCCATTATTTCTTGAAAAGCATGTATTATCAATACCATATGGGACAAATCTAGTGTTATGAGTACTTCCTACACTCTCCAGTAATCTCTACACTACATTCAAGACAATTTTTCTCAGCTTTCACATAATGAGATAGAATGAATGGTGTTTGTCAATCTTTGACTTTTTTCAAATAACACAATGACATCTAAATTCTGTTGTCTTGCTGTGACTTAATTTGATTCATTTTTAGGGTTAAAGAATTCTTGATCGTGTATATATACTGTATTTGCTGTTTCTATGAATCTATTGATGAGCTGTGGGTTGAATTGTCATATTAATCATTGAATAGTTCTGCTGCAGTGGGGAATTGTTTCTGCACAGTGATTACTCAGAGACAGGGTGGTTCAAGCACCAAGAACTCAAATGGCTGCCTCTTGGGTATATAAGAGCTAGTAAAACTGCATCCACTGTGGTTATTTATTAGTAACTCAAGGCCACAAGAACAAAAACATAGAAGAAAGGCATGTAGCAACATACTGTATTCAAGTTTTTGTTTGGGAGTAGGACCAAAATAGGATCGTTGTTACATGACACAAGTCAAGTTAGTCCACCCAGGCTTACTGGATGAATCCACACGCTGGCCAAAGGAAACCTCTCTAACAGTAAATTGCTCTTAATTCTGTGGACTGATATTGTGGAGATTCTTTTCTAAACTTTACTCATGCATTCCATGAGCATGAGAACTATAGTTCCCACACTTCTTTCCCTTAACACACTCAGGTTCAACCAATTCTTTCAATAACATCTCCCTATCTATTCCAAAGTAATAATGGTTATCATGGCAACCATGTGTCTCTGATTTATACTTTCCAGGCCAAAAAATATAACCAGAAAATAGACAAAAACATATTTCATTTTTGTTCATGATTTCCTGCCTCAGGAATCTGGGAAGAGCTCAGCATTACTTTAGTCTACTGCAGTCTTTAATGATGTTACATACACTCATCCAGGGGTGACTGAGGACATTTGAAGACTTGATGAACCTGGAAATTCAGGAGAGCTCATCCCTTAGCTGAAACTGGAAATTCATATGGGGCTGCTGATGGGACCACCAGAAAATATAATAGTCATTTTTAGTATTTATCTTTAAACATAAAATCTGTCTTGATCACAAGTAGAAATGTGCTAGTCAAAGATAATATCCAAAGAAAGGAAACCACTGTTCTTGTGTCTAAACTTCTATCCAAGGTGTGAGCACTAGACTGTTATTAGTGTGACTTAGGATCCTCCTTTCCTGTCTTGTCTGCAGGAAACCAGACCCAGTTGCTACCCCAGTGCAAGGACTCCCTGTCTGATCCAGCAGGCTTCACAGTATCAGAAGTGCACGCTGCCAACTGCTCAGGTGAGGATATCCCAAGGACAGAGCCTGCTCCTTCCCATGTCAGCACCACTAATCTGACTTCATTTCTTTTCAGACAACAGACAGCTGCGCCTGGTGGATGGGAACGGTCGCTGTGCAGGAAGAGTGGAGATCCTGCATCAGGAATCCTGGGGCACTATCTGTGATGACAGCTGGGACCTAAATGATGCCCACGTGGTGTGCAGACAGCTAGACTGTGGGGTGGCCCTCAATGCTACGGTCTCTGCTCACTTTGGGCAGGGATCAGGGCCCATCTGGCTAGATGAGCTGAACTGCACAGGAGATGAGTCCCATGTGTGGCATTGCCCATCTCAGGGCTGGAAACAGCATGACTGCAGGCATAAGGAGGATGCAGGCGTCATCTGCTCAGGTCTGTGCTTACACAGACCACAGGATGGGATGCTCATGGATGGTGTGGATGGCAGTACCTCAGCCCTAGGGTGGGCATGGGACAAAACCTGCAAAGGCCAGAATTAACTGCACCTGTCTTTCTAGCAATGAAAATGAAGTGCTACCACTTTCACCTTCAACAACTCATGAGCTGGTCCAGTTCTATGTCTGACAAAGTCAGTCACACTTAATTTCCCTGTAGGTGAAAAATCATGAACATTAGTTCCTATTTTGTAGAAACAAATCTCTATAGACATAATGACTAAAACAACAAACAGGAATCTCTTAGAATTGTGGAAGAGGTCAACTTGGACCTGCTCACACTAAAAACTGCATGTCAGCAAGACTGCATTCCTCCGAAACTCTTGGAATTCTCATTTTCTTTCCTCTTATTTTGTTTTATTTTCTGTTTTTTTTCCTTTCCTTTCCTTTCCTTTCCTTTCCTTTCCTTTCCTTTCCTTTCCTTTCCTTTCCTCTCCTCTCCTTTCCTTTCATCTCCTCTCCTCTCCTCTCCTCTCCTCTCCTCTCCTCTCCTCTCCTTTCCTTTCCTTTCTTTTTCTTATCAACTTCTAGAACCAGCCGGCATTTGTTGGTTAGATATTCCTGCCTGCACTGTCAAATGAATCCCTTGGAACAATTTGGCAATTCTTTCTTGATCACATCTCGTTCTAGGCAAGGTCCGCCAAAAATATCAGCTCATGGGATGCAGATCCATAGCTATGATAAGTTTGGCCTCAACCTCCAGTAAAGCTAGAATGATCTCACTATGAAAATTTATTTTCCTTAATCATGTCTGAAAACCTCTGCCATATAAGACAACATGGGCACTCAAAGATTCAGGACATATTTCAGGCTCTGCTACTGTGCTTGGCACAACCCACTTGTGCTCTCTCTCAAGGAGTCTGTCAGACATTCTGTCAGGAAGCAGGATTCAGCTTTCCTCCTTCCCAGAAATAAAATCAGTATTCCTTCCTGTTACTTTCTTTCTGTATTACTGAGTTTGAAAGAAAAAGATTCATTCAAGTTGGCAAAACAGGTGAAACACAAGTAATGTTCTTTTTCCCCGTTAGTACATTCCATAGCAGAGCCAGGAATAAGCATTCACTCCATGTGATAAAGAAAAGCAAAGATAGAGAAAGGTAAATGTAGGAAATGAATAAATACTTGAGACATATTATGTATATATACCAACTTCCCATGAAGGACTTCATCGTTATGTACTGCAAACACAGATTCAAAAATAAAAATCAAACAATTTTTGAAACCTGGCAGCATCACACTAACAGTTGGCTGCTCACACTGTGCTGTTTTGCTTCTTTCTGTTTCAGAGTTCCTAGATCTCAGGGTGGTGAATGAGGACCAGGAGTGCTCTGGGTGGCTGGAAGTTTTCTACAATGGAACCTGGGGCAGTGTCTGCCACAACCCTATGGATGATGTGACCTTGTCCGTGATCTGCAGACAGCTTGGCTGTGGGGACAGTGGGAACCTCAACACCTCTGTTCCTGCAAGGGAAGGGTTGAGACACCAGTGGGTGGATGGAATCCAGTGTCGAAAAACAGATGCTTCTCTCTGGCAGTGTCCATCTGAAGCTTGGGATCCCAGATCTTGCTCTCCAAAGGGCGAGGCTTATATCACTTGTACAGGTGTAGATGACAGTCATGGAATCTTATTTTTATTTCCAAATTGAAAGAGTGAATTACAGTATATCTGCACAAGGAATTTCACATGGGGTTTATTTAGTCTGCTTATGCTAATTTGTTTCAAGGAAAATACATAAATATGCACTGAGAGTAATTTATGTAAAAAGTACCAGGGAGTTTGAATAAATTATGTAAGAGCATGAAATCTAGCTTATGCTGTTCTAGGCAGTGTTAATTAATATGTATTTCATTTTGAATACAAGAGTTTGGACCTCAGTTATACAAACCATTTGTTATTTCGTTGAGTTGTTCCACATGTAGTGAAGTTTAATTTGGCAAGGTGTTGGTTAAAGTTTTATTCACACAAGGAAACTGAGTTTACTATTAACTATTGTATACAGACTATACAATATACAATATATAGTAATAACTATTGTATATATTGTATCAGTTAAGTGAAAGATGATATAGCAATTCAAATTCTATTTGGCTGGCTTTTGAGTTCCTGATCTTTTCCTCTGAAATAAATCTACACCATTCAGATAATGTATGAGGTCCTCTGTTTTCAGAAAACAATTGAATTCCTCATAGATAGAAACTTAATTCCAGGCAAGAGAAGAGAAAAACAAAAGGAATATAGTATCAGCTCTCATGATGTTTATGCTCCACTGCTGAAAGCCTTGGGTAGAAATCTGAGTGTCAAGAAGTAGAAGCTCAGTTCCTGGGCAAAGGAAAAAAACTAAGGTTAAGACATGATGCATGCTCACAGTCTACTGAAGGAGGAGGGTATAGAGCACATATCATTATTGTAAATGCTGAGGTACAAGGCAACGTAGTGTCCTTTGGGTGCTGAGAAAATACCACCAAGTTCAGAGAGAAAGATAATGAAATAACTGGACAGGTATACCTGAAAGTCAACAAAAGCTCCAGGAATTTCATTGAGAGGGTGTCCCCAAAGCAGTTGTTTTCAAGAGGTATCTGTCTTATTGTGTGACACATCATGGGAAATAACTAGAGGCCACATAATGCTGACCGTACATTCATTTGTTAATTTATCTCTTTCTGAATCCCAGTCTTCTTGGATGGCATTTCCTCCTCTGAGCTGTTATGCTTTTATTACTGTGAACTGATAGGCCCCTACTCTCAGTCACACAAAAAGTGCATGCCTGGAAATGAGCCTGCCATCTCCTGATTTCATTGTTCCTGCAACATCCTCTTCAGTTTCATATTGTGATTACAAGAAATCCTGTCGTCATTTATAGAGTTGATCTCTGCAGAGGATAGAATTGTTGTTGGTATAAAATAGGATGGATTTCAGTGTTTTGAATAAGCACTGTACATGTATTTGTTTTCTGAATATGGTTCTACATTTACATGTACTCATTTTGATTTTTTCATATATTTCATTTGTGTTCTGTGTTATGTCCTTGTCCTATTGTGCATTACATTCTTTTGTTGTTGTGGAATTTTGTGCTGACACTTCTCACTTTCCAACTAGCCATGTTTAATTCCCATTCTCTGAAAATTGTTTTAATTGTTCACCCCAGAGGATAGAAGATGTCTATCATTTCTATATCATTTGAGATATGTCTCTTTATAAAATAAGACAAATATGAAATAGAAATTACTTCTGTGGTAATTCAATAACCATATTTTAAGTGCATATTTATTACCACCAATTATGACACTAATTTTTGTTACTTTTATTATCTTTCTGATGAGTAACATATTAATGGAATTATTTTAACAGTTCTCCTGTTTAATAAATTTCATGCTCTATTAATCAAATTCACAGATATTATTGACACATCCTTTTGATAAATGAATATAACATGTCACTCACATACTGTTCTGACTCTGGAAAAGAAGAAATGACCTAGCTAATGTGCCTTCTCCAGTGGAGCGTGCATTTAGAAGTGTGTGTGTGTGTGTGTGTGTGTGTGTGTGTGTGTGTGTGTGTGTGCATCCTTATGGCTGTGTTTCTTGTGTAAATACAGAAAGTGATTCATAGTACTATAACTGACACAATCATTTCAGCAGTTATTCAGGGCTGTGCTTCAGAGATGTCTCAGTCATAGCCTACATCTGAAAGTTGCTTTCTACCCTCTTGTCTTGTCTGAGCCCCGGACCCTAGAATCTTGTGTTAGCTCTGGACCAGACCCAGCCAGTGCTGACCCAGTGCTTTCCCTGTTTTCTCTTGAAGGACAAAGACCCAAGAGCTGTGCAGAGTCTGAATCCTGCACAGGTATTTTAATAGTTTTCAATCCCACATAGTTTCCAAGGGCCCCTTTCCTCCACCAGGCAGTAAGAAGAAATGCTGCTACTTTTCCAGACAAAGACAAGCTGCGACTCAGAGGAGGAGACAGCCAATGCTCAGGGCGCGTAGAGGTGTGGCACGAAGGCTCCTGGGGCACAGCGTGTGATGACTCTTGGGACCTGGCAGAGGCTGAGGTGGTGTGTCAGCAGCTGGGCTGTGGCCATGCCCTAAATGCCCTGGCAGAGGCTGCATTTGGCCCTGGAAATGGAAGCATATGGCTGGATGAGGTGCAGTGCAGAGGCAGGGAGTCCTCCCTGTGGGACTGTGCCAGGGCTCCCTGGGGACAGAGTGACTGCAAGCATGAGGAGGATGCAGGTGTGAGGTGCTCAGGTGAGTAGCAGGCCCAGGGACATGGACTTGTGTACAGGAGTGTGTGCTTCCAAGAGCCCTTCCTAAGCTGCTTTCTATACTGTGCTCTGTCTGTGGAGAGCTGCACTCTGAGCTCCTGCAATCCGGGAAAGAACTTTATGCATTTGTGGTAGGCATGACCCCATGAATGTTTAGTCAAAACAGTTTACTGGCTCTATTTTTTTCCTCTTTTCTCTCTAGGTGAAAGAACAACAGTACCCTCAACACCTATTGGTAAGTGCTGCATCTATTTTTAGCTGTGCAGTAGAGTAGTTATTCAACTTGTCAGGAAACTGTAGATGGAATCTTCATACTTCTGGAAAAATTTTACTAGACACATATTCAGATGTGAGAAACAGGGTATGCGATGCTTACCAGGATTCATTTAACACAAATCTCCTATAGTTAGATGTAAAAGGCAAATTGACCAGCTCAGGGTATAGCTGAATTCGCTGTATCTTGGAGTTCAGGCAGATTCATTTTCTTATGTTCATGAACATAGGATATGACTAAGATACTTGAGTTTTTCTAAACTTTTGATCTTTTCCAAAAATGATGAGAATTTTTTCTCCTCAGGAAACAATTCATTTCTACCTCCTGAACCAGGCATCTTGTCCTTACCTGTGATTCTCTGCATCACTTTAGGAGCCCTTATCTTACTGGTTCTCATCATCCTGGGAACTCAGCTGCACAGATGCAGAGCAAACCTCAGAGGTAGGATGTGGGATACTGGTGGCCTGGAAAGAATATAAGGATAGGACTGGACCATTTGTAGTTTCCAAAATTCACATATTTCAGTCTTCATTCTCACTGTAAATAAATGCTTTGATACCATAGACTTCAAGATTGAAAACATTTGAATACTTTTCCTGAGTTGACTATGAAATGCGTCCATATTATAGAACCACACATGCAGTATGTCATTGAGACAGGGTGTAAGTTGAGAAAGGATGAACACACTGAGTTCTGGGCCAACACAGAAGAATGCTAAAGAAAGACGCACTAGCAGAACAGAGGGTTTCTGCCATAGTGAGCTTTGGAGAGCACAAAGGCTTGGTTGCTTCGCAAGACAAAGGTTTTGCAAAGCATCTTGTGAATTCACATTTCTTTTGCTAGCCTCATCATCTTTTGAAGATGCTGTTGAAGAAGCCTTGTACCAAGAGATAGATTATCTCATAAAACTGGAGAAAGAGGACCTGCTGGATAAACCAGGTGGGCTTGAAAACTTCCTTTTCCTATGGGAGCTGGCAGAGGTAATGGCTGTCTTCAGTAACCACAAACCATTAATCTACTTTCACATTGCTGTAGTAGCTAGTTTCCTATTACTGTGATTGAATTCATCACATAAACCAAGTACAAGGGAAATGCCTTGTGGTTCATTGTTTTCAAAACTATTCTCCCATCATCATTTTCTCCCTTTAACGTTTTGACTTGAACAAGGGAGTACATTATGGCTGGAAATACAGGATGATGAAAGTGCTGAACTCATGATGGGCAGATGCAGAGACCTAGAGAGGAAAATGGGAGTGTTCAATAGCTCATTAAGGGAGCACCCCCAGTTACTTCAAGGACCTGAAATATCCAAATAGGCCCAACTTCCCCAAGTTTCCACCACCCTCTAACAAACCAAGCTGTGGACCAACCATTTAATTTGTTGTCCTCTAGGGAATGTGAGACTGAAACTTTAGTACACTGTGATCCTCTTCGTAAGGCATGGGCAAAAAATGTGTTTTCTACAATTCTGAAATTTAAGTATTCTTCTAAACCATGACCTCAGGCCTCTAAATGTATAGGTGTTCATGATTTTCCCCCCCAGGAAGCCTGTGTGATAAACCTGTAGATAATCTGCCCTATTATGCAGAGGACAATGAGGAAAATGGAGGCCCAAAATCTTTCCCCGGTAAGAGAGAGGTTTTTTCCTAGCACAGGAGAGTGAGGAAGAAGAATATTATATGGGAAGGTATCTTCTGTGCTTGGAATAAGAAGCATCTGTTCTCTCCAATTTATAACAGTTTCTTCACTCCACCTAGTCTTAGACCTTACTAAAGCAAAATTCAAGTTCTTTCAGTACCCAAGATACCTCTTCTCTGTCACAGACATACAAAAAATGTGATAGTATAAATTCAAAGGAAGTCCATGATTTTTAAAATAATATTTGAAAATGATCATCTGAAATATCCCATGGTGAGAAATAAAACAGGAGAAATAATGTTGAGTCTACTGTAACAGATGAATTAATTTGTAATTTATATAAATTACATTTGGTCAGGTCATGGTTATAACTAATGTTGATTTGATAATCACTGGAATAGCAGAATACATGGTGTCTCTACTTAACCGTTACAGGGAGCTCTTTTCATAGGAGGTAAGAGAGTAGAATGTTTACTATGGATTTTCCCCAGTTGATAAAGATGGACCGCTCTTAATATGAAGTTCATCCACAATGGCTCTGTGGAAATAGGATCTGAAGTTCAACAGAGAACTAGGATGGTTGAAACCCACCTCCTTATGAGGGGTTTGTAGAACTAGCAAACTACGAGTGAGAGCAGCCTAGGTTTCTCTGATCCTCTCTGCTTCATGTCTCTCCCTGTTTAGTGCATAAAGATAACACTGGGTTGTCTTAGTGCAGACTGAATCTCGTTCTATCACTAATCTATACATTTTAATGTATTTTATTTTAATTTATGATTCATATTCTTATAAAGAAAACCTGAAACTCATAGCAGGATCAATTTTGTTGCTATTTTGTCATATGATAGACTATTTTAGTAAAATATGACTGCCTTTAAGTTATTGAACATTTACAGGGTTTACATATTTTCTGTAAATACTGAGAACACATATGAGTCTTTGGAAGAGCTTTGGATTGTGTGGCCATGTTTACTACTCACTAGAATTTCTGCCTTATTAGAGAAATCAACTAGTCTAACCCATATTCTGCTCTTCATCTTAACATTGATATTTGCATAACCCACAGAACAACACATAGATGCTACAGGAAATGGTTATGATGATGTTGAAGAGTTACCTGCTCTTGAAAATCCTCTTTGTTCTGAGATGAGTGAGAAGAACCTTATCCAAGAAGAGGGAGGTGGTGGTTCTAGATGTTCTCAAACAGGTTGGTGTGCCTGTCATCAGTCTTCTTATGCCCCTGAAATGAAAACAATGAGCTAGAATCCATCAATTATCACTTTCTCTTTATTAATAGCTTTATGTAGCCTTCTACAACTACACAAGTAAACTCTTCCCCTCTTCCTAACTGCTGGTTTGTTATACCTACCCTAAATCTTCTGTTCTCTATTCCCATTGTCTATTGGATGTAGACATTGTAGACATGTATGTATGAGTTACAGATTCTTTGTTACTTTACTCCACTTTGCATGTTCCAAACCAAGATTTGATCTCAATAATAATGAACTTTTTCAAGTGATCTCTAAGAATTTATAAAGTTTTCAATATAACATATGTATGCTAGATTATATATATATATAATTTGTTTGGAAGGAAATGTTGAACTACATGTTTAAACGTGACGCTGCCCCCTATTATTTCAGAAGATGCAATGCCCTTAATTACAGACCAGATTTGATCAATCAAAGGAAGGAATAAACTTTTCTCGGTGCTTCAACTGAACATATGACATCTTTCCACTTAACTAGGCGTGTGCCCCTTGTATGGTGTGGGAAGCCCTGTAATTGGCTGCCACCTTATATCTGCAGGCCATATGAACTTAACATCTGCAGTCTGCTCCCCCTTAACTCCCTCTAGAAGTTAAGTTTGGTAGTTAAGTAGCACCTTGCCTACATAGCTTGTTTGGCCTATTCAGGAATTATGTTAATCAGCCCACCTTATGAGCCCATGCCCCGGAAATTTGAATTGACCTATAACCCTCGATCTTGCCACTGTTGCTAAGTTACCTGCTGACATTTAAGAACCCAAATCCCTCCTCCCCAATACCCTATATAATTGATACTCCTTCCTTGAATAAATGAGACTTGATTGTATTTCTTCATCTTGTCTCCATCAATTGTGTCTCTTGTTCCTTTTCATCCCATTCCCTCTGTAGGGTCTCCATGGCCTTCCTGTAGGCCCAGACATTATGGGCCCATTTTTCTTGAAAAATTGGACCCTAGAATTAGTTTGGGTTACTGTCAATTTGCATTGCACAAGTGTCCCAAATTGTTCTTATAAATACCCAAGTTTCAATTTGGTACTAAGGACTAAAGAGAGGTGCCATGGTTTTTGTAGGTGGACCCCAGGTTCATGCACTTGCATTGTGCATTTGTGATTGGTTCATTGTCTAGTGCTTGGATTGGGTATGTGAGTGCCCCACTGGCCTAGGTGTGGAGCCAGGATGTGATGTAATGGCAGGAATAAATGGTATCTCCCTTGCCTGTTTCTGTCTTGCTGTTTACAGCTGCCATGAACTGTGGCCCCTCCATGGCACCATGACTTGGAGCCAACTGAGTATGTACTGAAACTTCCAAAAACTCTAAGAAATAAGACTTTCCTTTCTCAACATTGGGAATCAGATATTTTGTCTCAGTGATGAGTAAAATGTAACTAAGGTAATCCCCGCCTTCAGTCTTAAAACACCAGCCTGATGTGTAAGAAACTATCCATGTCTGCTTCCTATGCCTTCCCATTGTTCATCTGTATCCATTTCCATTGTTCAGACCAAGACAAGTTTTTGCAAGGAGTAAACAGAATATGATGTCTCTCTACGTTTGCAACAAGGCCTATATATACATATAGGCCTTTCTGAATTAGGCTTTTGTTCTACAATTGCTCTCTGTACTCCTTTTCAATAAAAATAAGATTCTCCTCATACTTTCAGGCACCTCTCTTCTTTCTCCTGAAGAGTCTTCTAAATCTGTTATGGAAGTGAAAGGATCTCCATTGGTGTTGAGACAAGAATCCATCACTGAGTATGATGATATTGAACTGAACACCATGTCCTGTCATTTTTAAAGCAAGCCTAAGAAGATCTTCTCTTTGTATCCCCAAATAAGAAATCCTTTCATTCTTGTAATATTTTTATATACACTTAAAGTAAAATAAAGTTATATAATAAGAATTTTCATTTAAAGACTTGTGCTATGCTGGTACATTCACCTCCAATGACTGTAATTACTTAGTTTTCAAGAATCTACTAATATAAATGGACTCTCAATTCAGTCATCTTGTTATGACCTTCTAGAGACTAACCTCTTGTCTTTAGATGCACAGAAGTTTTCTCTTTTTTGAGTAGCATGAAACTGAAATATAGTCTTAAATTAAGTGAAATATGGCCTCAGAAATACATAACTGAATATTCCAAAATATCTCAGCCATCTTGTGCCAGGAAATGGAATTTCAAAATAAATGGGATAAAACAGTCATAAGGGACACAATTTCTGTCTCACAGCATTGTCCAAATTTTATGGGATAGGAATCTTACATCACATGAGGGTAGGTTTTTACCTAGGATTTTTAAAAAATAACTTCAATAAAAGAATGAGAGACCTAAGCTCAGAAGCTGAAATAAAATCATTTTATTGTAAAGGAAAGGAAATTGAGGAGGCAAAATTTTATTGGGAAGTGGAGAGAAAATAATTATATATATAGCAATCTTGTTTGATTATATTTGGAGCCCAGAGCTGGCACTTGGGGAAATTTGCTCTTTTTTATTACGTGACAATGAAGGGATTCTCCTCCCTTGATAGTTGTTATAACTTGATTGTCTATTTTATATTCTGAGACCCTTGATTGGGCTATTGCCCCTTCAATTATTTATGTGTGCATTTTTGTACAAGCACTTCTGTGATCTCTGTGCAGTGTTCAGATGCTTATTTTGTGGGATTTACAGCAGAGTTATATTCAAAGCTGAATTAGTAAAAAGGATACATGTGATTTTCAGTGTATTAATATACTGAGAAATATGTATAAAATATAATACATAAAACATATAACACATCTAAATATTGTTGTACATATTAAGTGAGTTTTGTTATGAAACTCTCTCCTAAATTTATTTCTTTGATGATTAAGTAGAGATGAGAGTAGGAGAAAATTAAGCTTTAACACAAAAGGTTACAGGTCTACAGTGAGCTAGGCTGCCTTATCAGCTCTGTTTTTTTGTTTTGTTTTGTTTTGTTTTGTTTTGTTTTTTTAAGCTGTTCACTTTAGCCAAAGTTCAACTCTTTTGCCACTAGAAACCTCATTGAGACCCTTTTACTTTCCCTGTTTGTATCCGAAAGTCCTTGTATCTCAGTAACTAGAATCTGCTCCCTGCCTAATAATACTGTGTATGCCAAAGTCCTTTTACTCCTTTCCAATTTATTGCTCACACTTACACCAACAAACTGTAATTTTGATAGTTCAACAAGTTTTATGGATTTCTATTTTTTTAAATTAGTATCTCTATTCCTTTCTCTTTCTATTTATAATACTGTTCCCAATAGATACATAGTTGACAGTATCAACTGTAAAATATTCCAGTCATAAGTTAACCTCACATAATTACTAAAGTCGATGTTGAGAGACACAAGCCACACACTGTAATTTTGTCAAAATATGCAACTGTCTTATTGTTAATTATACAAAAGCATTTCAAAAGGCAGCCACTCTCCTACCTCAGAGTAGAGACAGAATATACTCTAACTATAAAAAATGTGGATAGTAAATATAGTCAGAAGAATTTACACCATTATTTTTGTACATAAAATGATGCTATAAAAACTTGTGACTTGATGTCCAAGAATTGTGATTTCAATGAATAAAATTCAAATAAAACTTCAGCTACTATGAAAAATGATGAGTCATAGAATGCTACTAATCTATTAAGAAAAGCTAGAAAGCAGTAGGTGAAAATTACAAAAAAGAAACATGTATTAGAGACAATATTGATTAAGCACCCTAGATTTTTTTTTTTTCGGGATTTAAAAATGGTTGTTTTATCATACCTGGTAACTATTTCAAACACTAGAAAGATTGGTTATTGACTTATTTTGGGAACAATGAGCCATGCAGGACTTCAGTTGAAATATCAGAAGTTTAATGTCACTGGATGTTGGCAGGAAAAGTGTACACTGATGGCACCAAATTGCATCAAGATTTGTACTATCTGCACTATAGACTGAAATTAAGCATTTTATTTTCCAGCTCTTTCTAATATCTTCCATCCAGAACAAAAACAAATTCCTTCCATGTGTTATAAAAACCTATTTACTTTTTCACATATAATTTCTAGCATTAGTAAAAAGTATTTTTAAAAAATGGGACCACATGAGATATACAGAAATGGAAATACAGAAGCAAATATGATTTTAAAAATGATGAATTATTTACCTTGAATATTGAGAGGTTAAATACATGAAAAGTTAATGTTTTTTTGTTTTTTGGGGGGTTTTTTTTTGTCTTTTTCCTTTTTTATCGGTACCGGGGATCGAACTCACGACTGCCTGCTTTCAAGGCAGGTGCTTATGCCGCTGAGCTAAACCCCCAGCCCCAAAGTTAATGTTTTTTTAACAGAGACTGATAAATGTATAAGAAGCAGCAAAAACATAAATTTAAATACTTCACAGTTAAGAATGAATAAATTGATTTAAAGGATGGGATTTTGGAATAACTAAAAATGTGGCTTAAATAACAGGTGAACAATAATAAAACAGAAATAAAGATATAAATATTATCAGATAAAAATGGGGCACAGGTTTAATATACAGAACTGGAATCCTGCATAAAACAGATAATTAAAGAGAATAAGAAAATGAAGGAAAATGAGTAAGATAACAACAAAAGAAATACTAAAAAGAATAAATGGTAGGATTTATTTTATTTTATTTTAAAGAAAAAATAAGACAGAATTTCAAAGCACAACAGTTTGGGGCAAAAAAAATTATGTATACACTGTGTATGGTTATCTTCATATCAGTTACTCATAGTGCAAGAGGTCTGCATCTAATCATCCAAACAATACTAGCAGAAATCTTTCTCTTCAATGAGCTCAGAGAAAGCACATGTACAAAGTTTCTTTCACCTTCTCACACTAATGAGACAATATGATGTTTGCACATACATTTCTGATTTATTTTACTAATGCGTATTGTCTCAAATTGTATCCATTACCTATAAAAGTCTCAAGTACATATCTTAGATTATGAGCATTTCAACATTTGAGTATTTTAGCTGTTTCCAAAATTTAGTTATTACAAATTGTACTGCTATAAACTATGGTGCATATGTATCACTGAGGCATGATGCTGTCAATTCTTCTGAAAAAAACACCAAATAGGAAATGAAATAAACAAAATAAATCTAATCCCATGATGCCAGAAATTCAGCACAAAAACAGAATAATAAAAGTTGTTAAACAAATCATCTATCAAGGAAATCCCATTAGAATAACAATTAACTTCTCAACACAAACTCTGAAGTCAAGAAGAGTCAAGGACAAAATGGTCATCTTAATCAATACAGAAAGTCTTCTGATAAAGTTTAATACTTATTCATGATAAAAATCCTACAGAAAATCAGAACAGATTGTCTCTACCTTAATCTGATTCAAGTCATCTATGACAAACCAAAACCCACATGCTAAATGGAAAACCCTGAAATATTTTACTCTAAATTCAGGAACAAAACAACAATGTGCACCTCCACTCCTCTTCAATATAGTTTTGCAAATGTTAGCCAGAACAATTAGACAAGAGAAACAAAAAAAAAAAAAAAAAAAAAAAAAAAAAAAAACAAGGATATGAGAAGATAACATGATATTCTACATAGAAACCTCCAAAAACATTGTTTGCAGATGACATGATACTCTATGTAGAAGACTCCAAAACTCTATCAAAAGACTGCTAGAGTTAATAAGCAAGTTGATAGCTGGATACAAGTCAACACTCAAAAATAAATAGCATTCTTGCACACAAACAGCAAACTCACTGGAAAAAGAATGACTGTCCTCAAATAATGAGACAATAATAAATAATGTTGGAGTTGTGGGGGAAAGAACACGTCTTCACTGTCAGTAGTGTGTAGACAGGTACAATCACTGTGGAAATCAATGTGGAGCTTCCTCAAAAAAACTAGAATTTAAGATTCCATTCAATTCAGGCATTTCCGTATTGGGTAATTTCCCAAAAGAATTGAAAATATCATGCCACAGTAATACATGTGCACCCTACTTTATAGCAGCATAATTTGTAATAACTAAACTGTGGAACAATTCAAATGCCTACCAAAAAGATGTGATTTTTTTTACAATGGACTACTAAGTTATAAGGAAGGATAAAGCTGAGGCTTTTATAGGTAAATGCATGAAACTTGAGACCATACTCATAAGCGAAATAAGTCAGACTTATATGTATAATCATCATATTGTCTCCTTAGTGTAAAAAACTTAAAGAGTAAATGAAATTCAAAAGGTACAATAGATATTCTGATAGTGAAAGTGAAAGAAACTGCTCAAAAGAAAAGAAAACCTGAGATAAGGGACAGGACAAAAGGGAAAGAGAAGAATAATATATATATATATATATATATATATATATATATATATATATGCAATTGGATATCTATACTAATAATCTGTTAGTTCATCAAAAATAACAGTTTGTGCCTTATACTACTACTAGAGTGCACGCTACTAGAGTGTACTAAGGTTTTGAGGGTCAGAGTGTGAAAATTCATCGCATCAGGACAGAAGGGAAGCCTGATCACTTCAGCAGGAGGTGGGAAAGTATTTAGTAATTTGATTTGGATCGGGTTTGATCAAACTTACAACTCCAAGTGGAATGCTAGAAGCTGCCAAGGCTAAAAGTGCTAACAACTTGTTCACTGGCCTGCATGGACAGCAGCTTGCCCGCAACTCTCAAACAGTTTATGAGACAGGTCTACATAAGGGTGGCTCCTCATGAGGTATGTTGTGTATTCAAACTTAGCGAGAGTCAAAGGAAGTCTAAAACCCATCTAGAAAGCACAGGTGTGGTCATTAGCCAAAAAAAAAAAAAAAAAAAAAAACCTGGCAGAGAGTATCACAAGTGTGGTAATGGCCCAGATGGGGGAGACTAAATAATCTGACATCTGAATTAATACAACTAGGAAAAGCGAAGTAGGTGAGCATGCCTGTCTGCGTGTGTGTGTGTTTGTGTGTGTGTGTGTGTGTGTGTGTGTGTGTGTGTGTGTGTGTGTGTGTGTAGGGAGCAGCTTTGAATAGCTGCTGCTGCCCTGCCCCTCCTGCCTGAGGGCATTTTGTGTGTCAGCCTACATTTCCCATGCTCCTCATGTCCGCCTACATTACCCATAATCCTCTCCTGCTTATGTCATATATCCGGATATGATGATGACCTATTAGATAACACTCTGTGTCCTCTTCCTGCCTTTGGCCCGCCCCGCACCCTATATAAGTTGTAGCCATTTTGAAAATAAACGAGACTCTATTGGAATCGCATCCTGTCTCCATCTCTCTTTTCTCTTGCCCTGCCCCCGTCCCCTGTCCCCTCTCCAGGTGAGACCCACGGACTGGTCCGCAGGCTGGATCATGTGTGCATGAAAGGAAGCATGTGAGTCCAAGGTTGCCAGGGTTCAGGTGGGCACTAAGCTAGGAAAAATGTCTGACTGGTCTAAAAATGAAAGTAATTGAAAAATGATTTTCACTTAACACTCAAAGACAAAAAAAAACTGCTTAGCTTTAATTTGCTGAGATATACAGCTGGGGCCCTGCAGATAGGCTGATAGAGGAGGAAGATAAATCACACTGTAAAATGTGGTAATGATGACCAGCAGTTCAGATAGAAACCAAGACTAAAAGAAAGCCTAAGCAGCCAGCTTGTCTGATGGCTTGGCTGAGACAGACACAAGGCTAAGAGTCTCAGGCACAGCTGTGCCCACAGACATTGGAGGAGTGAAACAGAGATCATTTGTTCATTTCAAAGTGAGTGTGAAGTGAGACAATGCCCAGGGTCTCCTCCTGGCTTTTCAAGCCCAAGCCAGATCTCATTTGGTATCACCAGGCTGGTGTTGCTGGCAAGAGACTGAAAACTGGAGTATCTCGAGCATCAGTGTCCAAAGTCCTATTGGTTGGGTTTAGCAAGGGTTTACAGGAGAAAATTTGAGCTAATTGGTAAGCGAGCTTGTCTCATCCAATCTGATATTATTTTTCTCAATTTAAAATGTAAAACATTTGTTGTTCACTGTAAATTCTTAAATTGTAAGTACAGGGTTAACTTGCTCTTTTCTCTTTTCACTGATGCATGAAGATAAGAACACTGATCCAAGTTTACTAAAAGGTCTGTCAGTTTTACACAGTAAAAGTCTGGTAAAAAGAAAAGAAAAAAAAGAAAGTTTTAAAAATACAAATGGCTACAATAAAGTTTAGCAAGAAAAATATCAAAATAAAATTGGTATTCTTTTCATATGAGAGGATTTTTTATGATGAAAAATTTTTCTCACTTAAGAAAAGATAAATGACAAGACTAGAAAGCTTACATTGAGTAAAGCTTATAGAAGCATTTATTTTAAAGATTTTGGGATTACTTGTTAATTTGAAATTCAAGCTGTTCCATCTAAAAATTTCTGTGAATGGAACAATATGATCTGAAACAAAATTACTTGATGTAATGGCTTGTGCCATACTTGGGTGGAGATGGGAAGAAAATCTTTATCGCTCACCAGATTAAAATGTATGCTGAAAAAATCTACACAATGGTATACTGACAAATATAGATATATTTAACTCCCCAAAGATTGAAAACTCATGAAGTAAGCCATTACTTAATATAAGGTGGCTGAAAGGGGACAATTGACAGGCCAACTGACAGGCTTTATATTGCTTAGTGGAGCCAAGCACTGTAGTGACACAACCCAGTGGGCCACTGTCTAAAACAATATGACTATTATGGGAGCCACCACAGTTAAGAGATCATTTTGCTGGCCTAAAATGTGTCTCATAGTGATCAAAAAGTCTGACTTAATTTTATATCTTTCTCTAATTTTAAAAACAATGAGGAAAAACTTCAAAACAAAATAATAGGAAATTAATAAGTGGTTAATATATTACATATTGTTGTCTTCAAAGTAGATGTTCATATTAGAAATTGTAGGTATAAAAATTGTGGCTATAATTTTGATCTGACCCAATCCACATCAAATTACTAGGCACATCCCTCTCCCCAATGTGATCAGGTTGCCCCTCTGTCCTAATGGGATGAGTTTCCCCCTTTGGCTACCTTAGCGCACTCCTATAACATGATATTGTTCCACAGTTATCTTAAATCCCATCAGGCTCTATCTGTGCTGAAAGGGGAGAATTCTGTGGCCTGTGGGAGGTCCAACATCCTTTCTGAGTTGAAGTGTTACTATGTAGTACCAGAGGTCTCAGGACCCACTTAGTTCATGGCTTCTCCTGCCTACACGCAAAGGAGACAGAAAATCCATCATCTTCAGTCCTTTTATAGTCACCAGAAATGATGGAGATTTAATGGATTGTAGAGACTCATTGGGAAACAGGTGAATTTTGCGTTATATGTACTTTAGCTCAACTGGTAAAGTCCAAACAGATGAGAAAATAACAAAAGGTAGGTTTCAGCTATTATGCATTTGGCTGAGGGTTGGTCTTCAGAAAATTGGGGGCAGAGGGCAGGGGAAGTAAACAAGGGTACAGAAGCAAGACAGAGCAATTAATACCTTAGCCTATTAAAAAGGCACAGCCTCATGAATCCTGGGAGAGCAAGAAGACATAAACTCTGTGTATAGGACATATTTACCATTCTTATCTCTTCCAGAAGAAGAAGTTACAGCAACGGGGAAGTGTGTGGGGGAGTAGTTTGAAGGGGACTGTTTTTTTAAGTCCCACTTCTATGTAATTTCTCTGTGAAATTTGGAGTTTGAAAGAAATTTTAGAGTTAATCATGAAGGAAGAAGTGTAAGAAAAGAATCAAATTTATTAGCCTGGAAATTCTCTACCAAAGTTTACTTCTTTTTTTAATAAACACTTTTAAATCAATGAGGAAATGCCAACTATTACAAACAGTTTATACTCTGAGAGCACAACATTTTTACTGGAGTGAGACACTAGGAATTTACTGAATGTGGGTAAATGATCTTTAACGTGTCACACTTCATTAGATTTAGAAGTCACGCTGTAGAGAAACCCCGTGCTTCTAAGAACCACAGAAAAACCTTTAGTTAAATGACAGATTTCATCTTAAATAAGAAAATTCACTCCGCATAGAACTAGTGAATGCAATTATTGTGGAAATTCATTTAACTGGAAGGAGAATCTTCTTACCCATGAGAAAATTCATACTGGAGAGAAAATATTTTTTTTTATTTTAACAAGAATAAAATAAAACAAAGTAACATATTTAAATAAAAATATTGTGAGAAAGTTCTCTTTCAGGAGTGAAACCTCAACAAACACCAGATACATTACTTGGGAGATAGCCCTTTATAAAAAGGAGTGTGGGAAAATCCAGGATGAGATCAAATCTTACAGAACATGAGAAAATTCATATTGCTGAGAAACCCTTTAAATGTAATCACTGTTGACCAGATTTTGGCCAGAAGCACTATGTAAATAATAAAAACATCATATTGGAGAGAAATCCTTTGAATGTAATTAATGTGGAAAAGCCTTGTCTCAATGAACATCACTTATTGGGCATGTGGGAATTCTTTCACTCAATAAACCTTATAAATTCAGTGTATATAAAAAGTCTTCCCTCAGAATTCCTCTCCTGGGCAATTAAGTCATACAGATGAAAATCTCTATGGTTGTAATGAGTATAGAAAATGTTTCTCCTATTCTCAACCCAGCCCTGAATTTGAGAATATACATAGGAAGAAGGACGTATCAATGTAGTGAATAGAGGAATTTTTTTGAAGTTACACCACGTTAGATACCAGAAAATTCATACCCACTAAAAACCCCTTGAATTTCTCCAGAATGGAAACACTTATGCCAGAAATTTGCATCTCATGGTACCATACACATATTTTGAGGCAAGACACCATAATTGATGTGATCTTTAACAAATGGTAAAACTTAGAGGGCCCCAAAACTTCATATGGAAAAAGACATAAGATGTTCACATCATGTGAACACTGCTCAACTGAAATCAAACAAACAAACAACAACAAAAAAAAAACTTACAACTGATATAGCACTGTAAAGTTTCATTCATTTTTTCCTAAAATTGAAAACAAAAAACTGAGACCTATTATGGCTCTCAGAGTGAATCTGCACACATTCACCATCATAAGAAAAATAATGTATAGGTATTAGAAAGGGTCTTAGTTAATTTTTCATTTCTGGGACAAAATACCCAACACCTGAAAGATAAATGTATGAAGATTTATATTTATTTTAGCTCACAATTTGTAATAATTTCAGTTCATGGCCAGCTAGATTCAATGCCGAGGAGCATGGCAGAGGTACATCACAGAGGTGAAACAGTTTATGACAAAGCAGGTAGGAAGCAATGCCCTTATTTTTTTCCATTTTTATACTACTAATGTTACAAAGCTATTGGTTAGTGCCACCCACACCCACAGTATTTTCCCCCCTGAGTAAATCTATCACACACACTGAGAACTATGCTAAACCTATCAGTGTACTAATCCACTATCATGCATTCATGACCGAATGTCCTGATAACTTCTATGAGGCTTCTTAGATTAAAGTTCTAAGACAGAGAATTATTGCACTTCAAGCACTATTTTTTCACACAATTCTTATTCAATAATGACATAAAATCTCAACAACAATGTATACATGCTAGGCACAGGAACACAGTTTGTGTCCCTCAGAGAGTTTTCTAGGAATTGTTACTTTAAAAGGTCCTCTCAAGGGAGCGCAGTTTCTATAGCCAATACACTTTGGTCAGTGTCCAGTGATGCATAGTTCAGTGGCATAGAGTTTCACTGGGAGACTGACAGTTTCACTGTAGAAGTCCAATTCAACAACTGTTCCTTGGAGCCAGAGTATGAGATGAGGCTCATGTGGTGCAGAGATCTGCTGAATACCCAAGCCTGTTTGACCAGTCCTTTCCAGGACAGATTTAGGGCACTGTCAAGGTCTAATTGCACATGACTTATGTGTTATCAATCAGATTTTGGGTAAAAAATTATATTCAGATATTCTGGGTTCCTTGACTCACATCTGCATGCTGTCCTTGCATCATCATGCTAAATAATAGAGGAGATAATTTGTTTTCATTTCATTTAATTTTTATGATTTTCTACTCGTTCCATTCCTTTGGTCCTGCAATGTTTGAAAAGGAAACCAAAGGAGCAGAGATGCTTACAGGCTCATTTTAACAGATAGAGAGCACAGGTAAGACAAAGACTTATGGAACAAAATTAAACAAATCCAAATCACAACATTTCAATGTAGAATCATATAAAATCCTGATAGTGCCAAATCCAAACAAAAGAGGTTTAATCCACAAGAAAGGAGACTAATAAATGATTGTTTCCTTACAAACATCAATTCAATATCTCTTGTAA